CCCAAGTACCCACTTCTTTTCGCCCAAGCATCCCAAATCAGTTAATGACAGGGTTGTCTTCTTCCTCCACATACCCTCCCCGTCCCAGAGATTTCACGAGAGACTTCGCTGGGCTGAAAAGCTGAGTTCCCTGTCTCTTTCAAACAATAGCACAGTGTGACTGTGATCTCATAAAGCTATATTTTTACTGTCATCTGGAAAGTGTAGTAGTCCTTGGTAATTACATGGTACTTTCCATCTGCGAGAGAGTCAACACTACATATACGTTAAATCTAATGCTCCAACTCCTCTGCCAAGACCAGAGAGGGTGCTGTGCTTTCACTGGTCCGCCTGTGTCTTGCTAGATTATCTTTTCTGAAGCGGGCAGAGCTGGTAAAGTGACCCCCATCACTTACTGTGAGGCTAAGTAAACTGTCTGGGTTTTCCACAGAAGCAAGAGCGCTGAGGACCAGTGTTTCCTAACTGTAGCAAGCAAATACTCGTCTGCAGAATATCAGCCTCGGCATCATCACCAGTTACTATGTTTGATTACAGATTCGATTCCTAGAAACATTAGGAAATATTTTGTCTGTTCAAGGGTGCAGAATGTTGTTTCTGATGCATTGTCTGCTCCCAACATTTTACATAGAAAAAAAAAATTGCCGACTCTTTGGCAGCAGGCTTTGGTATCCTGTTTTTTTTTTCTTTCTAAATGTCTGTGCTTCCATTCTGTAGTCTGTTCACTCTGCTGAGAATTTCCTTTGCAGTGAAGAAGTTTCTAATTCCACATAATAATAGTTGTCAATTCTTAAGGCTATTTTCGTGCTTTCAGGGTTCTATCCAGAATTTTTTCTCTATACATGTGTCTTCTTTTCTATGTTTATTTCTAGTGATTTCATTTTTTCAGGTTTTAATTTAATGTCTGTTCACTTTAACTTAATGTCCTCTTTGAACTGATTTTTGTACAGGCTGAGAGACACACCGATACAATTTCTTTCTTCTTCATGTCAATATCTGGTTTTGCCTGCATAGTTTAATTAAATAAGATAGGTGTTTCCAGGAGATGTTTGTGACAATTTTGTCAAAAATTTGGTGTCCGTAGCTGTGAGGGTTTATTTCCGGGTCCAGTTTGTGTTCCATGGCCTGCATGAGTGAGCCTCACATTGTCTTGGTCACTGTGACTCTGGACAACAGTTTGAAGTCACATGTTGCGGTAATTCCAGCACCATTCTTTTTGCCCAGGATTGCTTGGCCATCTGTGATCTCTGTGTTCCCATATGAAGTTTAGGATTTCCATCCCCCCCCACACACATACCAATCCTATGAGGAATGTCATTTGAATTTTGATAGAAATTGAATCTGCCCATTAATTTTGGTAGTGTAGCCATTTAAACATTTTAATGAAGGGTAGGGAGCATGCTAGAGCACATGTGGTGTGTTACTGGAAAGGGGGATACTGGGGGCCACAGTGGGGAGAGGAGCAGCAAGTTGAGGTCGTGAGTGATTGGGGGAAATCAACCAAAACCAGGTATGCACAAAAATATGGCACTGAAACCTGTTACTTGGTTTGCTGAAGAAAATTGAAAAAGTCTGTTGTCTCACAAGATGTCTTGGTTCCCTTGGCTCCTTTTCCTCTTTTTCTCTGATGAGTGGAGTCCAGATAAACTAATGAATTTTCAAAGTCAAACTAACTAGACTTTAAAACATATTTTACATGTGTGCGTGTGTGCGTGTGTGTGTGTGTGTGTGTGTGTGTGTGTGTGTGTGTGTTTATACACACAAGAAAGTTGGTTTCCTCATTCTACCACATGGGGCTAAAGCATCCAAATAATCAGGTCCAGGCTGCGTGTGTGCGTGTGTGCGTGTGTGCGTGTGTGCGTGTGTGCGTGTGTGCGTGCGTGTGTGTGTGTGTGTGTGTGTGTGTGTGTGTGTGTGTGTGTGTATACACACAAGAAAGTTGGTTTCCTCATTCTACCACATGGGGCTAAAGCATCCAAATAATCAGGTCCAGGCTTGGTGGAAGGTGCCTTTACCCACTGACTCATCTCACGGCAACCCCTAATACTTGTAAGCAAAAGACCTGTGGGTATAACAGATAGCCTATAGTTTTAATTTTCTGCTAGTGTTTGTTGTTTGAGACAGGGTCTGTCTACAGAGCCCTGGCTGTCCTCGAACCCAATGTAGACTAGGCTAGACTCAAATTCAGAGATCTGCCTGTCTCTGCCTTTGGAGCACAAGGATTAAAGGCGTGTACTACCACTGCCCTAGTTTTAATTTTCTTAAACATAGTCTTAATGCATTGCTTCAGTTAAACCAACATGACTTCAATCCATTATGCAAATGAAACATTTATTCCATTAAAATTTGGTAGCATGATTGCCTCTCTTAATTTTTCACAGCACAATAAATTGTGTTGAATGTTCCGTTTCTTTGTTTTTTGATTTTCTTATTTTGCCTGTAATGACAACGTATTTAAAATAAAAGTCTTTAAAATGGCAGAATAATGTGATAACATGTCCTCACTGATAATTTAATACTTGGCTATAATGAGCTTGTCTGAGAGATTTCATTAAAAACAGCAAGGTGCCTGAACATCAAAACCAAGATGGTTTTAATCACAGAATTATAGTAATTATACAAATCCTGAGATTTTCATCAGACATAAAAGGCTTCCAAGGGCAAGCATACACTTTAAACCTTATACTAATAACTATGTATTGTTCTAAATTATAGTTGAGAGACTCCTTGGGGCTATAGAAATACTAGAGAATAGATCAGAGAGAAAACGTTATATACTAAACTTTTACAATTTTGGTGGTGTGGGGACATTGGAAAGAGGCTTGTCTCCTGGGCAGTGCTAGAGGACCTCCCCTGTGTGAACACTGAATGTAGCAGGTGCACAGTGCACTCAGGACAGGCCAGTGAGCCTGGATCGTCATCGTGCTTGAGTGCAGAGAATGTCAGTGGGACTTCTTTCCACCGGGGGAGCTGGAGGTGCATTTTGCCCGGACTCTTTCTTCCCCTCTGGGACACAGCACTTGGAAAAGGAGTCATTATTGTCCCAGAACCTAGACTGCTGAGGTTGAGAAAGGACACTAAAAATTATTTCATCATTATAGGGATTATTGAAAATGCCATTTTCATAAAGTGGCAAAGTGCAGGTCCTCCTTGATTTTAAGAGACCTGGTATGTAAAGATACACAAGTAATGTTTTACAAAGATATCCCTAAACAAAAGTATTTATTTCATCTAATTTTATTGGTTCGTTGATTAATTTATGGCTATGAATACAAGGGTGATTAAAAAAGGGGGGGACACTTCAAAATTAATGTGTCAAGAGATGTTGTCTGTGGCAGAGGAGGGAGGAAGGGTGGCCTTGGAGACATGGAGATGGTGAGTGTGGCTTGCTCCCCCTTTATTACAAGGATTAGGTGTTAGGGGAAGACACAGAAGTCCTCATGTAGACTGGAAGAGGTATGCCTAGATAACTTGAGTCCTGACAAGATAGCATCTCATCCCTGCTCTCCTCACCCATCCCTGGCTGTGGCAAACTCCTCGCTGCCACTTGCAGGGATGACTGGAGATTTGGTGGGACACCTGTCATAGAATCCTTCTTTGTATTTGTGTTTGAACTTCTGGATACGGCCCTACTTGTTCAGAAAGCTCACCGTCTGTTCTGATGGCCATTGGGCCTGCCTCAGAGGTATCCACACGTGACTGCAGTCCTCCTCCTTCTGGACAGCACCAGCAGAGCAGTCTGCCACCAGTAATTTCAGTGCCATTGAAGTATTGCTTTTGTGCATTAAAATAAGTGTCATCGTGAGGAACTCCAACATACAGAGAAATAGAGATGAGTCAAAAAAAAATCAGTCTCAATTCTCAACAGAAGTACTCTCTGCATTTATCAGTGGTTCCCACCCATCTTTTCATGTTTCCTTTGATGCATATTGTGTTCTGATATACAAACACACTTAAACTTAATTATCTGCCATAAACAATTTCAGTAAATCTTGGGAGGGCAGTCAATTGACTATTGATTGCCATAGGGAATGAGCCCTTGGTGTCTTAAGCAGTGGACTGCAACTTCATGTAACTGAATGTGGGGTTCATGAGAAATCCCGCAACTGTAAGGTTTCTGAACACATAGTGACCAGAATTGCTTCAAATCCAAATCCCCAATGAATCCATGTGTTTCTAGCAGTACTCACCCAAGCTGCACTGGGAGACTTCACGGAAGCCTTGATTCTCAAGACAAAACGTGCGCTTTGCATTGCACATACTATTACACCATACAACAACAGCGAAGGCCCAAAACACCCCAGTCCGGAAGTATGTTAGGAACTGTGGTGTATTTATTGCCCGTGCAAATTTTTCCACTCTGGTAGATACATGATGGCTTGATTGTAGTAAACAAAGACTTTTAGTGTTCTCCTTCTGCTGTTCCTCGGAATGTAAGTATCAAATTAGTGTATCTTGGATTTGATGGGGTTGAAATATTTGGTTTAAATAATTTCTATATGAGTTTTCCACTAGGGTTTCATAAATAATGACTAAACAAATGTTGACTTGGGATCAGGGAAGCATTTTCAATAATTTCTGAAAACACTTTAAATAGACTTCTACTGTTTTTCATTACATATTTATGCAAAGTGCTTTTCTTAGTACCGGTGATTATAGAATCAAAATATTGATCAGTTCTGCAAAATGAGGAAGATGAGTTTTCCATCCTGCCGTATCAAATATTCAGCCAAGACTGAATTATGTCAGGGAATCACATACACCTCATTAATATGCACATTTGCTTAATCTTCAATAAATGTTGAAATTGTATGTATATAAAAGAATTGCTTTAAAATAAATGTATGATTTGTGGTGACTAAATAGTTGACTTGTGTGCTTATTTTATATAACTATATACTTTGGATCAAGTGAAAATTTCTCAGGTGAAAAGGGATCCTGAGTGGGAAAAGTTCAAGTCTGAGTGGAAACACTAAGGGTCCCTGTCCTTTGTGTCTTCTCAGGTTTCCCCTCATCTCCAGTGCATCAGGAAGGCTATGATGGGAACACATGAAAGAACTTGGAGGTCCCATTTAACTGGTTGTTTCTGCCTAGAAGATCTTCCCTTGGAAGCAGGACAGCGGTCCTGTGTAATGGTTGACCTCCAAAGGCAGGCCGCATTCTAGAAGGAAATGGATAAAATTGGTCCAGGGGACTTCAGAGGCATTGTGGTCTAATCAGGAAAGCCCTTGTGTGGGGCCTTCCCATTGCCCTGGGATGCTGCACACGCTGGACGCATGGCCTGCACCTGAGTGAGGATGGTCCGTCGTGGGCTGCTGGGGTGGATTTCTCGGGTAGTAATTCTGCTGGTGCTGCTCTGCTGTGCCATCTCTGTCCTCTACATGTTAGCCTGCACCCCAAAAGGCGACCAGGAGCAGTTGGGACTGCCACGGGCCAATGGTCCCACAGGCAAAGATGGCTACCAAGCAGTGCTGCAAGAGCGTGAGGAACAGCATCGCAACTATGTGAATAGCCTTAAGCGACAGATCGCACAGCTCAAGGATGAACTGCAGGCACGCAGTGAGCAGCTCCGCAAAGGGCAGGACCAGGCCAGTGATGCCACCGGCCTGCGCTCAGGCTGGGATCCTGCACCCAAAGCCCAAGCCGATCTGCTGGCCTTCTTGCGCAGTCAGGTGGACAAGGCCGAGGTCCATACAGGTGTCAAGCTGGCCACCGAGTATGCTGCTGTGCCTTTTGATAGCTTCACCCTGCAGAAAGTGTACCAGCTGGAAACCGGCCTGACCCGCCACCCTGAGGAGAAGCCGGTGAGGAAGGACAAGCGCGATGAGCTGGTGGAAGCTGTCGAATCGGCCCTAGAGAGTCTGAACAGCCCTGTGGAGAGCAGCCCACACCAGCGTCCTTACACGGCTGCGGACTTCATAGAAGGTGGGCATGCTTGGAGATTTTTGGGGTGCGGGGAGGGGGATTGAGAAAACACTTCCGAAGTACCTCAGAGCCTAGGTAGGTCTCTGGGGTGACTGGTGTCGAGTTTCATGAGGGAGACACCAAAGGTGTACTGGAGAGTTGTTGTTTTCCGGAAACTCTTGCTTCTCCTCACTTTCTGTTGGAAATTGCACTAAATACAGTTTAGTTGTTCTGTGTTAGAAGAAGGTAACACTTCATGCTTTGGATGGCAAAGTACTTGCCTGGAAGGCATGAAGACTTGGAGTTCAGGTTCTCTGCATCCAGATAGGCAGCTCAATTTTAATAAAAGACCTTGTATGGAAGGATCAGGTGGAGAACAGTTGAGGAAGACACCCATTGTCATCCTCTGGTTTCCACATGCAAACTCACTTGTGCACATTATCAGACATGCCCACCCTCCCCCACAAAAGAAGAGATAAACCAAAATATAGATATAAAACCCTGAAACCCAAATAGAATATACGAGTAACTCTATTGTGTCCTTTACCCTAGATACTTGTAGAAATTGGGTTGGGCTATGAGACCCAGAAGAAAACAGAGCAAAGCATTTACATGTGCCAGACCCTGGGGGATGACTGCTGAATGGACCCTTTGTGTTCAGCAGGGCACTGTTAGGAAGTACTTATTAATTAAGGGAAATGCTGGTGCTACAGATCCCAAGTTGACAGAGCCAGGATTTGAACTCAAGAAGACTGAGCCTTGAGTGCATGTCCTTAGCTACAGTGTCACATGCAGATTGTTGTAGCTGATGGAAATGAGAAGGGCGGTTCACTCTTTGCATGGGCACAGTCTGGGACTGACTGTGTTTGTGTTTGATTCCTGAGGAGACACTCTCCTTATCTACTTTCTTGGAAGACTCATTGGTATCTTATTAATGGACGCATTATTACTGGTTCAGAAACATCTACTCATTTGGGATAAGCCATTGAGGGCATCTAGTTCCATTACTCCACTTCTGGATAGATTCTTCTTCAACATGGCCCCAAATACAGCTGCGTCTTTTTAATTGTTACTTTTTCTGTCGGGAAACCATACCATTGCCCCCCAGGAAAGACAGTTTCTCTTCAGTCAAAAATCCTCCCAGGCAAGGGTGACAACTAAAATGATCAAGTGTTTGCATTGGAAGTGCAAGGACCTGAGTTCAATACCCCGGGACACCATCACCACCACCACCACCACTGCACACAAAGCCAGGTGTGATGGTGCCCACTTGTAATCCCAGTTCTAGGGAGGTGGAGACAGGCCCGTCACTGATGCTCACCATCGAGCTAGCCTAGACTACTTGGCAAGTTCCAGGCCAATTAGAGATCCTGGCCTCTACATGCATGCACACATGCACCTACACATATGAGAGCACCCAGGCATGTGTGCCCATGCACATATGCATGTGTGTGCATACACACACAATCCTCTGCTATTTCCTGTTCCCTGTATGCACTTGGCTGTCTTGTGGGGTTTTTTTTAATTTTACATTTGAGCTGCAAATTCATGAACTTTCAATATATAATCATTTTTCACATACTTAGAGCCTGGTAAAGAAATCTTTTGGAGAGAGGATTTTTGTAATTCATGCATTCAAGATACAAGAGAGAGAGAGAGAGAGAGAGAGAGAGAGAGAGAGAGAGAGAGAGAGAGAATGCATCTCTAGCCACTAACTAGGGCAATAATAAGCATATGATGAGCATTCAGTAAGAGTTCAGGTTTGGATGAGGCAGCATCACATTTGATGGTGCTTTATAGTTTATGAGGTGCTTCTACATTTATTATTTTACTAGCTGACCCTCGGGAGATATCATTAAACATCATTTTAAAGAAACCACTGCTCTGCCACGCTCCCTTGAGTATGCTATAGATTGCTGCCCACATACAAAGCAATTTGAAAAGAACTTGATTACAAATCAATGCCTGCAGCTTGGAAAGTTTGCCCTTTTGATTTCCAATCTGCCTTCATTTTTGAAATCTCCATCTGCTTTTCTTTATCTGGCCTTGATATGTAAGGCCAGTCTTTCTCAGTCAGCAGGGACAGCAACTCGGGCTTGCTTGCTCTGAGATCTGGCTGACTGTCAGTGAGAGACATCCTCACCCAAGCTGCCTGGTGTTGGTCCCATGTATAAAACACAGCTGATATCCCTAGGGAGACCAACTCACATGCAGCTTCTGAATTCTAGATAATTATTCTCATGTGCTGTATAAATGAAGATAAGACACTTTAAATATATTTGTGTGTAACTGATAGTTACAAACAGCTCAGGTTATTTATTTTTTAAAAAAATTGTTATCCATACCAAAGCAATCTGGGGGCCATCTTTTATGGCCACGGGAAGTGAGGCCTTTGGGAAGAGTCTCCAAGTCAGAAGAAGATGTAGGAAGCAGAATTTAAGTTCAGCATAAGGATGAAGTTGAAAACGGTGTTGCCTCTGAACTGAGTGAAATTCCTGTCAGTATAGGAATCAACTGGAAGACCATAGAGCTGGAGTTGTGAATTGTGGTTCTTATTGCAGAGAGCTGTTTGGACGGAATTATCCTTCATCTTCTCAGTCCTGGCTCACTTTTCTTTCATCTGCACCTATTCAAAGTGAGAGAAGCAAATGGGAAAAGTCCGCATGAGATCTGTTTTCTGGAAGGAGTTTGAGCCGTAATAAGGACTTTGCTGGGAGTAATATATTTTAAACAACTTCTTTGCAATTCTAAACATAACTGGAGAGAAAAATGACTTGGTCTGATGTATGAGACTTTGGTGGTCCAAAGTTGGAGTCATTTAGCAAAAATCCATGGGAAATTAAGTTAAACAGGAATGTTCTGTGTGCTTAGGAAATTCTAAAGGCAGTCAGCAAATTGCCTGCTGCTGGACTAGCAAGGCAAGGATGGGGTTGCTTGTGGGTGTACTAGTGTCTTCTCCTGTTGCTATGACCACATACTTCACAAGAAGCAGCTTAAGGTTTATTTGGACTTACAAGGTTTAGGGAATATAGTCCACCACGGAGGAGGAAGCACGGTGAGAGGCAGATCCACAGCTCAGGTGGGTACTCCTCACTCACATTTTAGTGCCACAAGAAGCAGAGAGTATACAGGAAGTAGGCTGGGGCCGTAATGCCTCAAGGCACCCCCGAGTTACCCACTTCTTGCAGCTAGACTCTGCCTCCTAAAGGTCCCACAACATTCCAAAGACAGTACCTTTCACTGGGGACTAAGTGTTCGGACACACGAGGCTACGGGGACATTTCACATTCAAACCACAGCAGTTTTTAAAGAAATAATAAAACACTACGGCATGGAATGCTTTCAGGTAACAGTGGTATAAAACTTAAGGTGAGGCAGGCAACATGAGCGTGGGGCTCTGTACGATTTACAACAAGACCCTTAGGCTCCTGGAGAAATGGCTTGCTCCTCTGTCAGTAAGAAACTCAGTGTGCATGTCTGCCCAGGCCCTTCCCAGACCTGGACGGAAGAATGCCCCACCATCCACTCACTAGGTGACCAAAGACAAGTCACCTCCCCTACAAAAGGAGACACTGAGAATGAACACAGTGACTTCTGCTGTTGCAGTGACGATTCTGTACTTCTAAGGAGCTTGCAGAAGGAGAAGAGCACACGTCTGTCTATATAATTTCTATCTATAGGATTTGTTATTTGTCTCTAAAATCTAAGGGGAGCAATAGTTATCTCTGTGTTCATGGTTTCTCAGAGGCATTGAGTTTTTTGTTGGATTCTCATTTAATAGAGTTAATTTTTTGCAGCTATTTGGAAAGAGAAGCAAACATCAAGCTGTAATCAAGCCCCTGCCTCAGAATGTCTAATTGCTTGTCTCCTCGTTTCTTTACATTTTATTACTTATTCCTTCAGAGGAAGATACCCACACTGGCATGCCACTGGCATTTGTCTTTGATTTTATGTTTCTTTAAGAGAGTAGTGAACATGATTGGCGTCGTTCCACGAAGCCATTTACCTTTCAAAATCTTCTGCAAGCCAAATATGTGTCAGTGGGGCCCCTCGGTGAACTCGTAATGTCTGTTGTCACAGTAGGGTTTCTCTGTCACTAACCTGTGATGCTCTCCTTCCTGCAGCTACTGCAGGGTTAATGGCTTGGCAAGAGAGTTCAAACGCCAAATGACTCAAACTGGGCTTGTGATGGAGTCAAACTCCGATCTCTCAGAAAGTTTGAGGGTAATGTGGTTTGAATGTACCCCCTTCAAAAATTCAGATGTTGATAATATGCCAGTCTTGAGGGCTTGGGCACTGAGGGAGTAGAGCTTCATGAAGGTGATTGAGGCTTTCACAAAAGCGGTTCCTTGCAGCATCCTGTAGCTGCCCTTCCGCCTCCTTCACCATATGGAACACAGCATCCCTCCCAGGAGGATGCAGGACTCCATAGACAATGAACCTGTAGCAGGGTCATCTTGAGCTTACAGGAGCCTAACGCTGTGAAGAAGTACATTTCTATCCTTTACAAATTATCCTGCTTCAGGAATTTTCTTATAGTAACAAAATTGACTATGAGAGGGGTACCCGGAGATGTATTTTAAAACCAGGCAATTTGGAGGTTGCTATATGACTTTGTAGGTGGTTGTTCAATCAGTCCTGACCTGCTGTCCATTACAATCAGGACTTCGGGGAGCTTTTGAGGTTTGGAGATCCACTGGTTATTTGTCACCATGCGACTTTTAGTGACTTCTGTGGTCACTTCGTTCAAGCTTGCCTGGTCAAGTCAAATGTAACTCTATATCTGGATTTTAGCAGGCTGCTGGTAAACAATATGTCAGGGACGACACTGGGCAGGAAAGAGATTCCTCCCGCAGCACTCCTGCCAGGGACATGCCTCTTGTTAGCCACTTGGTGATGGAGTAGAAATGACAAGATGCAGTCTAATGAATTGCTGCACATCTAGGGATCCAGCTGCAGAAATAGGGAAGAGTGGAGATTCTGGAGGTCACCCTGGGTGACCCTTGACTTATTTTTAGGGT